AAAGTGGAAAGGGTAAATTTGTAATTACACTTTTAAAATCTTTTGGTTATCTTTGGTTATATGGAGTGTGCACACCTGGGTGTTGAATCCGGATGTGCACACATCATTTTCCTAATTTTTTACATATGCATACAGTTGACAAATATTTTTCCTTTATTTAATTCTCTTTTAAAGTGTCACAAAAAAATGTGAATTAAAATTGGATATAACCATAGTTTTCTTAAAAATCCTCAAGTGGTTTCACAAGTGCGGAATTGAAATCCTCAAGTGGTTTCACAAGCGCGGAATTTAGATGCGAGAGTGTCACTTACTTTTTTGAAAAACAAGAAAAAGGATTTTCTCAACGACCTTTTCCTTTCATACGGTCGACCTCTATTAGGATGACTGAAAGAACATTAGTTTAGATTGAATTTTGCGCCCTTCAAACGATTTGCAAGAAGTAAAGATGCCTTCCTACAGAGTGGGTTGCTAATCTGCCTTGGATAATCTCAAGGACTTCACCACTATCGTGAATTTAAGTTAATAGATTCTAAATGAAATGAATGAAATACAAATTGGAGTAAACTTGATGTTTATTGCATGAAAGGAAATTAAAGAAGCAATTACACAAACTAATTTGGGTGCTTGAATGTTGAAAACAACCTAAATCTACTGAAATCTGTGCTAAAACTAAAATATAGAAACTAAGGTGAGCAATCACTACGAAATTAAAGAATTGAAAATTTGATGAGTTTTGTGTAGGATTAGCCGTGTGTGTTAAAAAATCAAAAAACTTCTATTTATACACTTCTTGCAAACTGTCTCTCCACTTCATTGTTGGCTATTTAAATAACGAATAACTCCTCAATTGAACTTCCTCCCAAATTCTAGGGATTTCTGATTTTTTTGTTTTATAATTCAAGTTGCAACAAACTGAATAATCTTTATCCTCCCAACCAAATTTTCAAATATGTATTCTTTCAGTAGATTTGATCTCACTTTATCCATTAACACATGGCATCACTTAAAAAATGTAATTTATGATGTAAACAGGTAGTATTGATTTTTAATATTAAAAATATTTAGAGCTACTTTAAAGACTAAAAAATAACTTTTTTCTAAAAATAAATCAAATTTTAAAAAATAAAAATTGATTTTTTGATATACACCCTTAAAATATAAGTTAAAAATATAATGAATACACTATTTAATTTTGTAATTAATTTATGTGAAAACATAAATATTAATTTTAATTTAATTGATTGAACAACTAAAGTTATTCACAAGGCAATGGTATTAAAATAACGGTGAATTTTTGTATTTTTATATAAATTAATTATTAAAATATAAGTTTATTACTGCTATAGAAACAAATTAGACATAAATTATAAAAATGTATGTATTACACCAAATGACATAAATTAGATAAATTATCTAGAAAACATATGTTTTACTAATTAAAATTTTATATTTATCCTTATTAAACTTGAAAGTTAGGATGAGTTCTTTTTAAAAATAAAGTAATTATTAATAAAAAGAAAATTAAAAAGAAAATTTTAATTTTTTTTATCATCAAAAGAAAGTTCTATTATATTAAACTATTAGAGTAGTCCTATCCATGTCCATCACTTCTACTATTGCACAATTTAAGTAACTATTGCTCTAAAACACAAATCAGGATAAATAAAGAGAATCTCCATTCTCGTGCTCTCCTCTTTGACTAAAAAATAATAATAATTTGAATTGCCTCTACTAATTTATCAACATCTGTCACCAACTTGCTAAAAATCACTTTATATCTCAGCTCCTAGTGACTGAGATGAGCAAAATGGACCAAATACCTTGTATTTGTCCATTTTGTCAAATGCAGCCAAAAAGCCTCATTCACACTACCGCAACGTGATTCATATGACATAAAAAACGTACCAGATTGCTTGCATTTTGACAAAATGCCATCCCTGAGTAAGTTGTTAAGATGCCTCTCTCACACCACCGCAAGTGGCTACATGAATGCACCGCACAATTATACGTGATCTGCATCTTCCACTGCTTTCCCACAAAAAGAGCGGCTACTGTTATCACCATCCATGGTAATCCCTCTCGAACTCAAATTCCTCTTTGTTAGCAACCTATCCAAAAGCAATCTTCAAGCCAAAAAACTCACCTTTCCAACAAGAAACTTATTCTAAGTTGCTTTGCATAAAACAGCATATATGATCCTTTGATCATGAGATTTAATCCCTAATTACGTTTTATCATTATCCTTAATCGCTAGATCAATATCTCATTATATCTTATTATTTGAGTTCATTAGTTAAAGATTTTAGGTACCTATATTTAGCTTAAAATTATAACGAAGGATACATATAGAAGTACATACATTAATTAGAGTAAAAGTATATACATTAATTAGAGTATTTTTTGTCTTCCCCTAATAATTTAAGATTTTTTCAGGCAGTTTCAAAGATGAGAGTTGCAGTGATTGGAGCAGGTATTAGTGGTTTGGCTTCAGCTCATGTTCTTGCAAAAGCCGGTGTCAACGTTGTCCTATATGAGAAGGAGGACTACTTGGGCGGACATGCAAAAACTGTAACCTTTGATGGTGTTGATTTAGATCTTGGTTTCATGGTTTTCGATTCCGTAAGCTCTTTTCTCCATCTTTTATTTTTTCCTTATTGATATGATATGATAGGATGAGTTAGTCGAAATACTTTGTAGTCTAGATTGAAAAAAAGCAAGATCCATCAAATGGGAGAATCCTCGTTACATTTAGAGACCCCAGCTAGTTCGATTTAATCTAGATGACACTTTTTTCTCCTTACCAAAAATACAAGCAGATTTACTAATGTTTTGTGACTGTTAGATTATTTTTGGAGGTAAAAAGGGACTTGGAGGAGAGTAGGAGAAGAGTACAACTCAAAACATAAATCTAACATAGCCATGAAAGTGTGCAGACTTTCACCCAACAGAAAGGAGAGAGAGGTTCTCCAAATCTCATTCCAATTTCCATTTTCCTTTTAATCAAAGATTACAATACATAAATTAATATAAAAAAGTATAAATGACTTATTGATCTGAGTGAAAGAAATTTAGTTCTTTTTAAGTAACGTCTCGAATTTGAGTTTTATGAACAAAGAAATAAACATTAGCGACTAACATGGAGTTTGACTTTAATTCCAAATTAATCGAAACCTAATGTGATTTTTAAATACTGAAATACCACTTTTGAATACTAAGAAGTTAATAAGAAAAAAAACATTAAAAAGTACGTATATTGAAATTGTTGCAGTTTTGTTGATTAATTTGCGGCCTCCATTTGCATTTACATCTCAATTTCATTTCATTTTCTTCCATAATGTAGCAGTTTGCTACACTTTTCTTTATTCCATTAAAGCAGCTTTGTTGCCGCACATTTATGCCATAAACGCAGCTTCTTGCTGCACCATTTTCGCTATCTAGTTGTAGCAAACATTACAGCTTTGATGTGATTGCTCCAACACTCCTTGTTGGCATAAAAGCTGACAGTGTGTTATATTTGAAGGTTATTTATGTAACTGTAGGAAAAAATAAATAAATAAATAAAAGACCTTTTTCACAGCATCAGCACCTGCCATTTTTCAACTTCTTTGTGCTTGGTGTTGGTTAAGAACATGTTTGGGTTAACTTGTAAGAGTTTTTATCTTTTTTTTGTATTGTTTATAAGTGATAGGTTTAAATTTTTATTGAAGAGAAAATTTAAAAATTACTTTTGAAGGTTATTTATGTAACTATAGGAAAAAAATAAATAAATAAATAAAAGACCTTTTTCACAGCATCAGCACCTGCCATTTTTCAACTTCTTTGTGCTTGGTGTTGGTTAAGAGCATGTTTGGGTTAGCTTGTAAGAGTTTTTACTCTTTTTTTTGTACTGTTTATGAGTGATAGGTTTAAATTTTTATTGAAGAGAAAATTTAAAAATTGCTTTTGAAGATACAAAAAAATGAATAAAAAAAGAGTTTATGAAAAGTTTGGATTTAAAACTTTTGAATTTTTACTGTTTAAAGTCTTTTTAAAGTTAAAAAAAAGTTTAAAATGTAAGTTTTTAAAAGAGAAATTTAACTTATAAAACATGAATAATATCAAAGAGCTGAAGCACTTTGAAGCTGAACCAAACATGCTCTAAACTTCCGTTGGACTGTCTTTGCCATGAAGCCGTGAGAGTTTAGAGCATCAAAGCCACATCCATGAAGAGTTTTCTTGGGAAAACTCAAAACAAAACCATAGCAAACATAAAAGAAGGATGAAGAACATTCCATGAAATTGAGTTTTTTTGTGCCCAGTTTCCCATTCCATCAACTATGATTTGCCTTTTGGACTGATTTTAGAAACAAACATGAACACTTTCTCTTTGAATCTAGATTCCCTCTCCTTGACATCTCCCATGGTGGGACTAATACGCCTCCATCTTCACAGCCTTTTTTGCTAAAAGATTTTGGCCAAGCAAGAGGGGTTTCATGTGATGAACCATCTGAAAACAATGAGAACGGTTGAGTTTTTTTTTTTTGGTGTTCTCTCAAAAAACAAACTCTCATTGGTCCCTCAAGAATTTAGCTTTGATACCATATTAGATTTTTGTGAATTAAGAAGAAAGGGTTGAAAGAGAGGACTTGGAGGGAGAGTAGGAGAAGAGTAGAACTCAGAACATAAATCTAACATAGCCATGAAAGGGTGCAAACATTCACCCAACTGTGAGGAGAGGAAAGGTTCTCCAAATCTCACTCCAATTTCCCTTTTCCATTTAATCAAAGATTATAATACATAAAATAACATAAAAAACTACATTCAAATTGCTACACTTTGTTGACTAATTTGCAGCTTCCATTTGCATTTGCATCTCAATTTCATTTCATTTTCTTCCATAATGCAGCAGTTTGCTGCACTTTTGTTTCTTCCATTAAAGCAGCTTTGTCGATGCACATTTTGTGCCATAAATGCAGCTTCTTGTTGCACCATTTTGCTGTCTGGTTGCACTGTTGCAGCAAACATTACAGCTTTGATGCCATTGCTCCAGCAGTGACACAACAATGCTTTTGGCAGGTTACATATCTGAACATGGTAGAGATGTTTGAGAGTCATGGGGTTGATATGGAGGCATCCGATATGTCTTTTTCAGTGAGCCTGAACAAAGGTCAGGGTTGTGAATGGGGCAGCAGGAGTGGGATGTCCAGCTTGTTTGCACAGAAAACCAACGTCTTCAATCCGTACTTTTGGAACATACTGAGAGAAATTCTAAAGTTCAAGGATGATGTGCTCAGGTCACCTATTTTCGTTTCCATTTAGTGCATGCATGATGATATTTGTTTTTTTAACTATGTAGGCCAAAGAGATTTAAATTACTTAGGGGGTTGTAAAAAAGTCATATTACAAGTAGGTTGAGTTAGAAACCAATCAAAGCGAGTGTACAATATCCTTTTTACTTAAAAAAAAAAAATGATATACACTCAATTTAATTTTTTTTTATATTTATTTAATTAATTTATTAAAATATAATATAAATAGAACATAACTTAACTAATCATTATATCTTATATGTGTTATTATATTTTAAAGTTAATTGATTTATAATTAACGATCTAAATAATTTAATAATAATATTCTTTTGTTATAAGTCAAAAATATTAAGTTCAAGTTATATAACATACAGGTGAAATGGAATATGAGATAGAAAATAGTTATTTCTTATATTATGTAATCAAAATAAATAAATAAATAAGTTAATTTACTTTTAATGTTAAATTTAAAAATAATATAAATTTTTTTAATAAATATATTATACATCATATTAAATTAAAAAATATATTAATCGGTGTCTTTAAAAATAAAGAACTCCCAGTGATGAGTCGTTTTCAGTTTACTTCATTTTACCTCAAGTTCTAATTAATATAAAAATGAATTTACCTAATTTTTTGAAAGAAATAAAATTACTACATGTTTAACTAAATGGGAAATGGAGAAAGGAAATTCAAAAAACTTAAAGACGCAACTTACAAGAAATTATTTTTATTAATTTAAAGTTAAAGTCACTAGGTTAGAGTATAGGAATTATAGAAATAAATTTACTTGAAAATTAATTTTTCTTTAAACAAAATGTGAAGAGTAAGTGCCATGCTCCAACCCATAGGTTTAGGCATAACAAACACTACAAATTTATAGAACCCCATAAATATGTAAAGTCATCTATCTGTATATTAATACAATCTCTCATAAAGTTTGAATATAACCTTACAACTTTAAAATAAACAATTTCATTAACAAATCTTAATAATCTCCAAATAATAAGATCAAATCTTTTAACTAAAATATAAAATAGCTAACATCTTATTCCATAAAATCAAATAAGCTTCCAATTGAGCTATTGCTAAATTTTTGCCAATTTACTTTAATAATCTCTCAATTCCTATGCAAAACTCAATACTCATACTTTTTCACCTGAAATGATATGAAATTGAAAAATGTGAGTTCAAGAACTCCGTAATTAGTATACTCGTCCATCATAACCAAGTATAAAAATTTAAAACTGAATTTTTATTGAAAATGAAACGATAAAAATATATTTCTTTTCTCAAAACCAGAATATTTCATTTTTCGTCCCTTATGATTGTGTAACAATCTATAATCCACGACCACGATCAATGATACCGAATCATCAATCCACAATACACAATCCATAATCCACAATACATAATTCATAATTCACAATCCATAAATCCCGAATCTATCACAATACCAATAACTCAACTCTCATAAGGGTTAATCATACAGCTAGAACAAACAAAAGAAACCATTTTAAAAATAACAATTTCAATAATATTGGAGAAAAACAAATTTAAATTAACCACCTCCACATTGTCACAATCTCATTTCAAACTTAAATAAAAATATTATACCTGATTCACAAATCATCTCATTCCATTATTAAAAATATATAGTAAAAAGTTATTCTCTAAGAAATAAATAAATAAACAAATAGGTATATAAATCAAAACTGTGTAAAACCCATTTAAATCTATTAATTTACTTTAAAAACACTAAAGGGTATAACTACTTACCTCAATAATCATCTCTTAAAATGCAATTCCACACAATCAATTGTAACTTAAAAGAACATCAAATAAACATAACTCAATCATCTAGTAAAAATTTATCTAGTACTTCTCAAGTATTTTTCTATGTAGTAATTCTCTAAACTATGCCATTAATGTCCTATTCCTCAAACTCAGCTATTGTTTCACACATTTTTCTAAATTAAACACCTAAATAAATAATTCTCTTAAAAATTCCTCACGCCAGACCATCTAAATTTACAATTTAATATCAATTTCAAAATCTAATAATTAAAGTAAAATCAATCTTACCAACCAAATAATTACCCACTATCTTCATTCTTAGGTTCCAAAATATTTCACCCATTTTCCCTTCTAGTGTGAAATTATGTGACAGAAGAGTTCCTAAGAAGTAAATTACGACAATAACTTTTAAATTCCCCTCTTATCATTCTTCTAATCATCAAGATTTAAATTTAAAAAATAAATTACCTTTGATTGACCCTTGTTTAGTCAAATCCTTATAGCACGTCCCTTTGCAGGCGAGAGGAAGAAGACGTTCCTGATTCCGCAGAAGAAAAAAAAAAGAACTGAAAACTGGCAACTTAAACTATTTTGGTTTTTCACAAAAGGAAATATTGTCATTTAAGTCTCTGTGATATTTTTTCAATTTAACTAGCCCTTGAGAAACTTTTACAACTTAATCCCTAAACTTCTCACTTCATTGTAATTAAATCTCATATTTAATCCTATCACATATATATATTTTAAGAGTTTAAATAACTTATTTAAATTTTAAGTAATCCTTGAGGATTACAGTAAGGTACGTAAATAGCACCTGGCCACGATCTTTAACAATTTACAATTTAAAATATATTAATGAATCTTTAAGAGTGGGATCCGTCTCCGGATCATGCTGGGAGCAATTGAATTGTATTATAAACTTATAATCTATTATGTTATTAATTTATTGTATAATTTATCTATTTATAATATGGAGTTAGTGCTTCTTCGTTTATTTTTAATTTCAAAAAATTAAAAAAAAATATCATAATTCATATTTTATATATAAAATATTTTAATTTTTTTCAATAAGTGTTTATTAAAATGACGTAATTTTGAAATAATATTTTTTAAAATATTTAAAAATTAAGATAAATAAACACTATTTTATTATAATATTATATATATTTATTTAATAATATATGATGTTTATTTAATAATAAATTATAATTATAAGATATAAATAAGAATTTTATTACTTTAACTTCAAATATAGGCTTTTTTTATAAGTTTGCTAGTATCGACTCGGCAAAGAGCTAAATTAAGCAGTGCAATGATATTCTTCCCATCGTTGCAGTTATCTTGAAGTGCTTGAGAACAACCCAGATATTGATCGTAATGAAACGTTGGGGCAGTTTGTCAAGGCACGGAGTTACTCTGAATTGTTTCAGAGGGCATATCTGGTGAGATCACTGATTATATATGAACTCAAGTGAACTCTTGTTTTGTCATTCATCACCTCACAAGAAAGGATTATATTATGATTTCTACAGGTCCCCATATGTGGTTCAATATGGTCTTGCCCATCAGAGGGAGTTATGGGGTTTTCAGCCTACTCAGTTCTCTCACTTTTCCGCAATCATCAGCTGCTTCAGGTACATTGTTCTTAAATGAAGAGTTGAACCCATGTACATGCATGTGTTTGTGAGCATACCTGTGAGAATGTCGGTTAACTATGCAAAATTCTACTTCATTATCCCTGTTTAGCTGTTGACAGGCTAAAATTTGCACAAAAAGGGATGCTGCTTTCATACTAGAGCTTTCCACGCCAAAGCATAGATTCTGATGGGTAAATCGTTTGGTTGTTTTTATAGCTTTTTGGCTGTCCTCAGTGGCTCACTGTTAAAGGGGGTTCCCGTCATTATGTCAACAAGGTAACGTGCTGGGTTGCCCTTGCCCATCTTTCTCCCTTTTTTTTAGCCCTTGAATTTAAGGGATGTACTTAAATAGATTAGCTCTTCGAAGTATCCCAATTATATTTATTTGCTTTAGATGTAAGATCAAAGCACGTCATTTTCAATTGAATGATTGACTTTATCAGGTCAAGGAAGAGCTTTGGACCACGGGTTGTCAAATAAGAACTGGCTGTGAAGTGCTGGCTGTTTCGACTGCTGATGAGGGTGAGTACATAAGTTCATTAATTTACTCTTCTTTTCATTTCAGCATGTTTTAGAATTATATAAACTAAGCTGGATAAAAATTGCAACTTGTAGTTTCTGGCTAAATGACAAAATGCAGAATTCTGGTTAACTATCCCTTAGATGCTATGTCACTTGAGGCAAATGCTTAAAAGTGCTACATAAGTATTAACAACTGAATGCCTGAAGTGAAACAGAATGAGCAGGCAACAGGCTATGGAATTTCAATCATCCAGGCCAAAGGGAAAAAAGAAGATAAAATTCTTTCTTTTCTGAATTTGCTTATATGTCAATCCCATCATCGTTGCTCAATTGCTCTTTGGAACGTTTTGCCTAAGTGGCTGACTGGATCCTTTAAAATATGCATTTCTACATTAAGTTTTTCCAAATGGTCAAGACCTCATCTTTGTTTCAGGTTGCACCTTGTTATGTGGAGATGGCTCCCAAGAAATGTTCACTGGATGCATTATGGCCATTCATGCTCCTGATGCTTTGAGATTACTAGGAAATGAAGCCACTTACAATGAATCAAGAATACTTGGTGCTTTCCAGTATGTCTACAGGTACCTATTTTCTTTAATTCAACTCCTCAACAATTGTGAACTCCATTTCAAAAACTACTGAATTACATATAATGGGACTAACCTTGTTGAAGTATTTTACAAGAAATTGTGTTTTCTGGTTCAATCCTGCATTGTTCCCATATACTTTGTATTCCTTTTGATTTTGAAAATTGTACAACTGAAAACAGTATGTTTGTTAACTCTTTATTGGCAGTGACATTTTTCTTCATCGTGACAAAACTTTAATGCCCAAAAACCCAACAGCATGGAGTGCATGGAATTTTCTTGAAAATACAGAGAAGAAAGTATGTTTAACATATTGGCTCAATGTGCTTCAGGTATGTGTCTCTTTTTCTTATACTGAATTTGAATCTATGTGTCTAAGGGATAGTTTGAGAATATCAAATATAATTCTGCAGTATAGTGTTTGTACTAATACCCTTAAAGTTCTAAAGTTGAGAGTACAACATGTAATTTTTTTGAAATTCAAAATTTGTTAAAACTATATGCAATTGTGTTATCATGGTACAATGATCAGTATGAGAGTTTAAGAGCTTCAGCAAGATAGATTTATTTTGTATTCTATCCTAGAACATTGAGGAAACTGAAAATTCTTAGGAACCTGCAGAATATTGGTGAGACAAGTCTCCCTTT